CCAATAGCGTCCTCTGTCTTCTTTCAGTTCTAATGATGCCTGAACTGACGAAACGTTGACGGATTTCTTTTCTTTGCCTGCATTTTGGAGACATAAGGCTGTGTAGTTGAATTTTCTCAAATTTTAACCCAAATTTTGTATTGTAAATGTTATTATTTAATGAATAAATAACAAAAATAAATTATATTTTATCTTATTAATCCCGTATAGTTGAAGTTTTAACTTCAGTCGTGTAGTCCTCCTAATGTATTGGCGTTTCCTATAGAAATCATCACTCGAGATTGTAGCTCTTAAATGGGAGGAAATAAAACCCATCCATAAGACTAAGTTTTTCTCAAAAAATAACCTTGTTTACACTTAAATTACTTAAAAAATTATTCACACTTAAATTGAATTAATAAGAGGCTGCATTGATATGCACAGAATTCCAAAGTGCGAATTTATAACAGCCCAATTTAAAAAACTTAAAATTGGAGAGAGTTGTGAAAGCATAGCAATTAGACGATGAGTAGACTGGAATAGCCTTTGTGGTTTACCTTAGGGGGGGGGGGCTGAGGGCCCCATGGCAATTACATGATTTAATTGTCCGCTCTATTGTACCCTCATCACATCAAAGCGGTCCTCCCACCGTTCCTCATCTCCCTCTTCTGCTATTTAATGACACGTTTCTATGGCCATCGTCTCGAATGGATTATTTTTAGTAGTACTACTAGGCTACAAATAAAGTTCTAGAGGTAACAAAAACAGAAATTACACCCTCTGAGACAATATCGAGCCTTAACTACGCCGTATCTTTCATGAGGCTACCCTTTATTATGAAAGTAGACCTTTTATAAAATATATATTACAATAATACATACAAATTTTATATATTAGATAACAATCAAATATTGCTGGTGAAGGTGATAAGAAAACATTACTTGGAAGTGGAGAGGTGCAGGTCGGAATGATTCAATACATCCTTAGATATTCAGACGATATAGCTATCCTTGGAAGCAATCAAGAGGACATTGAGGGACTCGATAAAACCCTAATTAATAAAAGAAACAGAGCAAATCGACCTACAAGTTACTGAAGACAAAATAAAATGTATGATGATAAACCGAAAATTCCACTCCAACCATCTGTTTCTGTGTAGAAGGGAAATCATTTCCAAGAATGGACATAGAATTCATTTTAACCAGAGACCGGATATTCGTGAAGTAACAAACCGAAAAACGTGCAATATAAAACCCAAAATGTTCAATATCGTGCAGTAAAATCCCAAAAGGAGTAAAATTGTATACATAGCATTTTTGTTTAATTTATAATATTTATTTTTGTTTACTGTTATATTAAGGGTTATAGTCTCTAAATTGAAGTTAGATATAATGTGTAGTAAACTGAGAAAAATCTAATTATAATTTAAAATTAACCAAGATTAACCTAATTCTGAATGAAAGAAAAGAAGCTTACAAAAAATTAATCATATATTTTTTTAAAACGGTGGATTTTTTATATGAGGCTTGATTTTACAGCTGGAGATTAATTTAAAATTTAAATAAAGTAGATTTTGAGTTAAGCCCCTAGATTTAATTAAAATCCCTAGTCCTTCGCGTAACCCAACGGTGTTTTGTCGAATTACATTTGTTTGTGAAAATATTTTGTTTGCAAATACTTTCATACTTGTTTATTTGAAAACTTAAAAATAAATATACACTTTTTTTTTTTATGGGTCCTCCCCTTCCTCGCCGTTATGGCTATGCGGGGTTTTCCCGGGCCAGGGGGTGTGGGCGGGGAATTCAAAAGACGCCTTGGCACCGGGACGCGAACTCGTGACTATTTTTATTACACATTTGTCATATATCAGGTTGTCGGGCAACGGTGGTGCTGTGGACAACGCGTTAGGCCATTCGGCCACCCCGCCCACTAAATACACACATTTTGTAATCGCGAAAAACTAAGAGGATAAGGAGCTTTGTAAGCGACTATATTCACTTGCATTAAATTGAGTTATTAAATATGGTACCCCATTTATACTATTATTTATAAAATAAAATGTGTTCACTTGGATAGTAATTTTGTTACCTATATCAAACTATACAGATCTAAAATATTTTTGATCTCAGAAAGATAACTTGAAAATGTTATTTTGAATAATACAATTGAGAAAAAAAAGTTTAAAAACTATTTTCAGCCTTTCGTCAGCCATGGGTTGGACATAGCTGTTTTCAACTACAAACCTAATATACAATAATTGTAAATAAATATTTACATAAATACATATGTACATGTTATAAAGGAAATTTGGTTCAAATATTTTACTTTATGCTGCTAAATTTGAAATTTTGCTTTTAAATTGTGAAATATGCAATATCATGCAACAAAAACTAAAAACGTGCAAAATGAAACTTGAATCTGTTATTCTACAGATCGTGAAACGGATTGATTGTTGGGTTTGATGTTTTTACACTTAAGCGAACAAAATGTGCAATAATATAAAAATCCGCTCTCTTATTATAACTCTGACAGAGGATACACTAAACAGAACCTAAATTTAAAGTCTTAATAAAAGCTCTTTCAAACCTTTCAAACAGCACTGATTGGAGCTTCAGCTGTATTGTTGCCCAAATGCGAGACCGAGACGAGTCTTGGTCTTGCGCAAGAGTCTCACAACAGTCTTGCAGTTACTTATTAGCTTATTACTATAGAGATATTATTGTAATTTTTTACATAGAAGAAACCTAACTATGCCCGAATGAAAAATTAGAAGAGTTAAACGCAAAAGTATATTGGTTATACCAATTATTAACGTATAGTAACTAAGATTGTCAAATATTAGTAACTATTTTGCCTTAATTTTTATTCAAAAAATCGATTGTTTTTACCAGTCCTGGTCTTGGTCTTGCAATAGTTAGGAGGCCTTGGTCTTGGTCTTGCAAAGTACAAGCCCAAGACCGATTTTGGGCAACACTATTCAGCTGTTGTTATATTATATTAAAGTTTGTTATATAAAGTTTGTAGCTAACACAAAATAATGCCGATGATAAAATTAGCTATGTCGTTGGAGTATTTTGATTTAGAGGCGGGAGGACAAGTTCTGTCTTTAAAACGCCAATAGTTGATAACTCTGACTGTTTTTTTTTTTTTGGCCCAGTACTGTTGTTATCAGAAATGTAGATAATATCAACATTATATGAATTAAGTTTTATTTAAGGATCGTGTAGGTAATTAAATAATTGGTTGGTGCAATCTTTGTTTCATTACGAAGAAATGGTAAGTTAAGATTTCGTCGGTAAATGGCAAGTTAGTTTGTGAAACGAATGTTGTCAACGGCATAATTTCTCACACTCGCCTAATTTCGTGGCGGCTACAATAAATGAACACTCCAAATGAACTCGATACGAACCATAATAATACTCATTTTGTTAAGTACTGTATCCCCAACATATTGTGTATAAAAAGAGTTGGATTAGAGATATTCAAGAAGAGCCATTTTTGTAATTTTTATGCTAACGAATATACTAATGAAGTTTAAAGAACAAAAGTGCGTTCATGGAAAATATAACTGATGAGATTAAATCTAAATATTTAAACCTCCTTTATTTTTTTAAAAATAATAATATAATAATTTAGGTTGGATGCATTCAAAGGTTTATTATTGTATTAACTTCATTGTTCTGTGAAAAATTATCATATCTTTATTTAGTGTTGAAATAGTATGTGACTGAATATAGGCCATGAATATACCCGAATAATCCTCAAAGGAATAAAATGTTTTAATAATTTGTCCTTTAACGAAAGCTGTCTCTGTTAATTACATTAGCTGGATTAGAGAAGATTTAATACAAACGAGTTTTTTCGCCCCTGAAGCAGATATAATCCAGTTCGTAATTGCCTTTTTAAGCTTTATAAAGCCAGTAATCCTTTTCATTTTATTCACTAACAATATTTGATGTATGATGTTAGTTTTTATAAGCATTTGTCAAAACGAATGGGGTATCCATTTAGATTAAAAATATGCAAGGATTTTTTTTTAATATATACCAGATTCTAAAGTCCAGATACATTATTTTTAATCTCCTGTGTAGTTTTAAATTAAATTTAGATACACATGAAATAAACTAAACAGGATTTTTAAAAAATCAAAGGGTTTATGATTTCTATTTAAATTTTATATGTTACAATAATTAGTATATGAAGTCGGAATGATAATGTCTAAGTGTACTTTTTATCCAAAATTGAATTTTCTGTATATCTACTTTAATTATTTATTACATAGTTGGTTGATTATTATTTAGTTATTATTTTACTTTTTTTAATTTTATGTTTCCTGTATACATATTGCAAATGTGTTCATATATCACTATAATTATTGTCCACGTGACATATTATTATATTTCTAAATAAAAAACAAAAAAAAAAAATTTATAAAACAATTTCTTTTGTGCAGGAAGATCAGTTTTTATTATTTAAGAATTTTGCGAAAACTTTCTCTTTCATAAAAAATATTTCATTTTTGTATTGAATTAAATTTTTAATATAAATTAAATATTACATATTGATATATTTTTAATTTTCTCACTAGCCTTGTAGTCCGTGGCACCTTATTATCAAATCATTAACGTCCGGCTGAAACTTGGTAAATAGCTTCATCTAATCGTAACCTAGAAATATTTTTTTTACGAAAATTCTCGGAATTGGAGCGTTTTCAAAATGGAGGTCGGCAAACTTCGTGCTCTTTATTAGATACTAAAAACTTGTAAGTACTCATTTGCTTTCCACTTTAATCGGAAGGTAACTTGAGCACAAAGTCGAGAAAAAAGGTGACCTTCAAAAATACATAGAGGTGGTCTCGTTAACGAGAAGAGTTTTCTTAACCAAACTGAGAATAAGTCACACCAATGTTACCCATTCACACCAATCTTACCCATTCACACTATCATCAAGCAGTCACCACCACAATGCCAACACTGCAATAATACACTTACAGTCAGCCATATTTTACAGGAGTGTAGTTTTTACGTGTCGAGTCTAAATCGTTCAGGACTTACACCACCAATAGCAAACATTTTGAGGGATGACGAAGACACAATAAAGTTAGTGTTAGGTTTCTGGAAATCGAACGATTTGTTTAAAAACATATAAATCTCTTAAAAATTTAAACCAGAGATGAACAAAATCAATTTACAGGCGTTGTTGACCCTTATGTTTTACGCCTTTAAACCCTAACAAATAACAACAACTTTTTTATTCTGATATATAGCATTAACTGTATAGTTAATGCGTATATCATTCAAGTAAATATTGTGTACTTATGTAATAATAAGCATGTATCATTAAAGTTGATTTATGAAAATCGCTTTCTGAACAAAAAAGAAACGACTTGAACTACTATTTGTATTTAAAAAAAACAAACAAAAATGAAAAAATACTTTAATTTAATGCTTAGAAAATTATGCTTAGATTACAAGTGGACCAAAAAGGCATGAATGAACCCATCATATGTCTGTGGTATTATACAAATACCCTTCTATCTGACAGAGGCCCGTAAAGGTTTCCTCCTGAAATAGAACTGAATGCTTGAATTAAACATGAGAAAAGGCCCAAAGTTATACCAAATTGCTATTCCTTTCAGAAAAGTTTTTTTTATGAACAATGTGTTAACTTGGGCCTTTTCATCCGAAAAAGAAATAGCGAAAATGGCCTTAAGATATAATGTAGTTTCTTTTTCTTCCTTTTTTGGGGGGGGGGATGGAGAATATTTATTTTTTATGAATCGGCTGTGATAGTACTATTAATAGTAAAATGTATAATATATTTAAATTCTATCTAATAGAATATCACTTATGCTATTCTGATAACAAATAAAAACATTATTTTTGAGCATTTAAAAAAATATTTTCTTAAGTAATAAAAATATCTTTATAAATGTAAATATTTATACATGTACATAACGCCTTATCGAGATGATGTAATTCATTTCATTATCATTATGAATACCCCACAATCGTTCAGAAATTAATTGAGATAGATTTCAGATCCGTATTCGGCCAAATATTGTTTTCTCTGCAAATATTAATTCGCACTTTTCTTGTATTTGATAATAAGCAGATGTGGTGTAGTGAACTTAGAAAAAGACATTATAGGCACGAGAAAAAATAGTACCCAGCAGCACCTCTTCCTAGTCGTTATTTGCTTCATTTGGCAAAGAAAGGAGATCTCTCACCTAGCTTCTTTTCAGGCACCTTCTGATGGTTGTGGTAATGTCGTTAGTAAGTCGATTGTTGTGTCCGTGTAGTTTTTGTGAAATCGGGGATAGTTGTTGTCTAGTTTTTATGTATGTATGTAAAGTATTGTTGTTTACGTGCCAGGGAACTATTGTCATTAGTTTTAAAATTTTGTATTAGAATTAAAAAAAAAAAAAAAGGAAAATACATTTTTCTAATTAAATTATTCGAAAGATTCACGCTAAAAATAAAATTAGCTCTGCTGTTTTCATTATAGTTAGATTTTTTAATACTATATTACATACTTTTTGCAAGTAAAGGAAATTAGTAAACTCAACACTAATTTCACCAATGGAGTCCGTCGATGAATTAAACCCAACAACAATGGACAGCAATTTATGAGTTTATGAACGACTCGCTGGATTCCAGTATAATTCAGGGCAACAGAAGATTAAAACTGAACCGTTGAATTTCAAAATAGAAATAAATGTAGATATAATGCAAACCGGGCGTAAATATGGAATGAAAAAATTGAGAAATAACAGTACTGTGGTTATATCCAGTGAATCCATCGGCAGTTGAGGGATGAAGTATTATGAACAAATAGAAAGAGATTTGGTATAATTTTTATTTAAATATTGTGTTAAATATTTTTTTAAATTTATTTATAGAGATATATAATATTCTGTCTCGTGGACAATAATTATAGTGATAAATGAGCACATTCACACCATATATACAGAAAATATAAAATTAAAAAAAGTAAAATAATAACTAAATAATGATAAAGAAAACTATGTACAATAAAAAAAAATAAAATAACCTAAAGATAAGTAAATTAAAAACATAAAAACACAGCCATACCTATATACAATTAGGCAGGAAACCCAAAGCCAGGCTTCTTCCTCCTACTGTTATAATTAATAAAATGATTATGGAATTACATTAAAAATAATAATTAAGAGAATGATAGTTGGGGTTATCAGTCAAAAATAAAAATGGCAAAAATAAATAATAATATTTATTTTAATATTTCCAGACGTTTCGACCCGAAGTTCAGGCCTTCATCAGGGCTAATCGCTATTGATCGAAGAGATCGCTATTTATTATAGAGCTGATTCCCCATTGATCGAAGAGATCGAAAAGATCACTATTGATAGATTCATTCTATCAATAGCGATCACTTCGATCAGCTGTGATGAAGGCTTGAACTTCGGGTCGAAAACGTCGGCAAATGTTAAAATAAATATTATTATTTAATTTTGCCATTTTTATTTTTGACTAATCATCCCAACTATCCTTCTCTTCATTATTCACCACAGTCAACCATCAACCCATAAAGATAATAATTCTTTTTATAGTTGTTTTCTCTCCTCCGTTTATTTATTTTTTACTAAGTTTTAATCGATCACTCTAGATTGAAGAGTGGCTGAAATGTTTCACTTAGCAGCTTTAATTTTTAATAATATAAAAACAACAAAAAATTGAGAATGAAAAAAATATTAGGTATGCATTCAGAATATTCCTACACGTAGGAGACCGTATGAAAGATTTATAAAATCATTGTTAAAATTCATGTAAATTCCTCAATATGACTGTATATTATATACATCATATATATGAATCGTTTTCTGGTAGTAAAAGTTTCGATTCTTAAATTAGTTGTGGTCGATGACTGCACATTTTGAAGTAGGCACATGACGGAATGTCTCCATCACAACTTGAACAGACAGCTCCCTCAATTACATCTGGTTGAGGATAATGAATATCATTCAGAACGAATTTGTGGATGACGCGTCATGGCGGCGTGGGGTTGACGTTGATACGCAATACAGCTGAGACTTAATAGGAAAGCGAAATTAATTCAATTCCACCAATGCATCGCGATGTGCAAGGACCTACAGCAACCTCTACATGTCACGTCAAGCCGATTTATTTTATAAAAAATAAATAATAATTGGATGGACTTAATATTTATATTATATATGTCATGTGATTCCTGTGATATAATTTTTATTTAATGTAGCTTTTTCTAAGAACATAATTAATTAAATGTTAAGCTTTCGCAAGAAACCAAGGATAACAGTATTTAACAAAGTTTGACATAACCTATAATTTAAAAAATGTTCCTTGGAAAATGTTAAAATGAAATTTTTTTCTTGTCCTAAATATTACTAAATTTATTTTATAGACAACTAATGAAAAAGTACTACTTGAAGTGGTTGAAAATTAATATTCACTACAATGAACTAATAAGTAAACAGTGAACTACACTGAACAAGTTTTAGCATAATACTGAGTGGTAATGGGTAGAAACGGTGAGAGGTTATATAGTTGGAAGTTATTTCGTTTTCACAGACCTTTTAGAAAGTTAAATAACTTTTACTGTTTTCCTATCTAAACCTTATTTTACTGTCGGATATGAGTATGAGTTATAGTTGTTTATTTATTGAATAAACCTCAAGATTTAGGGAATATATATATATACGACGGAATATATACGACGCCCTATACTTTTTTTCCCATGTGCATACTACTTAAAATTTTCAGACGCTCTGATTGGTTTCCTTCAAAATTTATTTTTAGAAATTTAATTATATCCTAAGAGAAAAACATTTCTTTAACATATAATGCCAGAATATAATTTAAAATTAATATCCAAATATTTAAGGAATGTCTTCGTTTCGATACACATTTTAGACAGCTCTTCATTCTTTTTTTCTTCAAGAATGCCTACAACGTGGATCAGAATCTTTCTATTGATTGGTTATCATGGTCTACCGTTTCTGAAGTTTATGTAATAATAATATAATATAAGATATAAAAGCTATTTTTAAATTGATAAATGTTTGTAATATTGCAGATATAAAAATAAGTTCTTCTATGATAAAATATATAATTCCATAATACATATTTACCTTGATTGGATTGTAAGAGACATCCAGATGCTTCAATAAAGTTAGCTTAGGCCAAGAATCGGATGGCAGCTTGTAAAAGTTACAATGGCTTATGGTAAGCGTCCTGAGCCTGGGCAGAGCCGAGGCGGTGTCGATGGGGAAGTCGGATATTGGATTATACGAGACATTGAGGACTGCCAGGTTGGGGAGGGGAAGGACTGGGAGGTGGGAGATCCCGGTGCTCGCCAGGTTGAGTTCCCTTAGGTTCTGCAGGTAATGGAACAACTCCTTCAGGTTGGCTCGGATCTTGTTACCTGAAAGATCCAGCCTCAGCAGGCTACTTAGGCTGGTGAACACGTTGTCTGGAACCAGCGTTATCCTGTTGTTCGCCAAGCTGAGGCTCGTCAATAACGGAGTCTCTGGGAACATGGTGCTGTCCAGGTGCTCGATCTGATTGTTTGATGCATCCAGCACCCTCAAGGTGAAACCTATCTCACCCAGAGAAGCAGAAGGCATCACTAAAAACTCATTATTGGAAAGATCAATCCTTTCCAGTTTTGTGTTGATGAAGGCGTCCCTGGGTATTGATCTCAAGTGGTTGCAAGACAGATCCAATATCCTCATATTTACTAGATGTTTAAACTGCTCCATGTGTAGTTGTTCTATGTGGTTGTGAGACAAATCTAAAATTTGTAAATTTTGAAGACCAGCAAATGCTCTTTTTCTTAGTTTAACTATCTCATTGTGTTCAAGGACCAAAGATTCAAGTTGAAGTAGAGGGCCGAATGCCTCTTCGCCCAGTTTGCTTATGCGATTGAAGCCTATATCAATTCTCCGAATACTGGTTTTTATTATGCCAAAAAAGTCGGATGGTATTTCATTCAGAGAATTATAAGTTAGATCTACGCTCTTTATGTGAAGTGAGTTCGTTTGATCGCCAGTTTCTATTGAATTGAGAAAGTTTCTTGACAAATTGAGTGTGAGAGGGAACTCTTCACATGTGGAATTAGAGAAGATGTCTAGATTGAGTTCATGGAGATCATTTGATTGCAAATCAAGTTTTAAGAAATTCGTAATTCCATCAAAGGCTGCGGCCTCGATGCGCCATATTCTGTTTTCCCCTAAGTATATACTTACTTTGTGCCTCAAATTGGTAAAGGCTCTTGTAAACACAGTTTTTATTTGGTTTCTAATAAGGACTATAAATTGTAATTCATCCAAATCAGCAAACGTATTGGTCTCGATATCTTGCAGGTGATTGTCAGATATTCTTATATCTCTAAGATATTGATGAACTCGAGGTATAAATATGTTTGGTGGTAGATAAGATATTCTATTCCCCTCTAAATTCAAATATCTTAAAGCGGTCAGGCTTTGAAATGCAGTATCTGATATCGTCCGAAAGTTATTGTTATCTAAGGCTAGCCACATAAGATTAGTCAATGGCAGTAAAAACTCTTCCGGAAAATCTTCGTGGTATAATCCAAAACTGATTTCTAAACTTTCCAATCGTATGTCAGCGAATGCTTGTGGATGGATACTCGCTATCTTATTGAAGGATAAGCTTAACTCTCTTAACCTCGGGGCGTGCCTGAAGGCGTGCTCCTGTATTTCCACTATTCTATTATTCATTAGAAGTAATGTGTCGAGGTTTCCACCCCAATCCGAAAAATCATCTTCCCTCACCTCTCTTATAGAATTATATCCCAAGTTGAGGTGTGCTAAATTTCTACACTTTTTCAAAGCTTGCTTGGGTATACTTTCCAATTTGTTGCCCGATAAAGAAAGGGCTCCTAACGTTTCCGAAAAACTGCTTAGTGCATCGCTTTGTATTTCACTGATATTATTGGACGGCATGTATAAGTACTTAAGTTTTTTAATAGTGCTCAAAGCTCTTGGTATTTTCTGTAGTCTGTTTCCTCCAATGTCCAAATATTCCAAGACATTAGAAAGATCGTTAAAGGCCTTATCGTTTATCGTTTCCAATTTGTTTCTCGACAGGGATATCCTGCCAATAGTGAAGCCCTTGAAGGCGGATTCTGGCAGAGTCTTGAAACTATTGTGTTCTAAATTCAGATCTCTTATTATTGTGGAGTTTCTCGGTTCCATGTCGAAGCTGGTTAGGAAGTTCCAGCCGAGATCGAGCTTGTCGATAGGCCTGTATGGTAGAACCGCCTCTTCCAGAGTGGCTAAGAAGTTGTTCCTGAGGTATAACCAGGACAGAGCGGTTAGGGCGGACATGGGCGGCACCCTGTGGAGGTGGTTGTGGGAGAGGCTGAGGGTGTGGAGGGAGCTGGGTAGCGATCGGATCGCCTGCAGCCTATTGCCGTCCAGGCCCGCGGAGGTCAGGCGTTTCAGCGCCGCCAGATCTATCTCCTCCAGGTCGTTCTCTCCCAGGAAGAGGTGTGTCAGGCTGTCCTTCAGGCCTCCCCAGTCCGAGGGTGGCAGGCTGATGGAGTTTCTGAAATTATATTAAAACATGTTACCTCTCATAAAATTCTAAATGCATTAAATCTATAATTATTTGATACGAACATAGTCATATATTTTATGGTAGTATAGGTTTTAATGCTAAATAATAAAATTGAGCATCTTCTTAGCAATATGAAAACGTGTGAGATAAAAAAAAAATTGAGAAAGAGAGAATGAATAAGAACCATCGTAATCTCAACAGTAAATACTTTAACCTTAAGGAAAAATATTAGTTCAGCTCAATGAGCGATTATCTTTTCTCTAAAACATTATATATTATTATTTTATTTATTAACATAATTATTTAATCTGTCCTAGTTAGAATTTGTTATTGGCTAAGTGTTGCATGGCAATGATAAAATCTGTACACTACCGTTGAGAAGCTCTCTTAGCCACCACCTTCCCAGTCGCCAGGGTGGGATGTACGGGTTTGTAGTGGAAGGAGGATAGTATTTGGGTTAATCGGTAGATGTGAGTCAGTCTCTGGTGGAAATGGTATTTTTTTGCAGTATTTGAAACCGTTCGGATGTCCAACTCCATGTATAACAAGTCATTCGTCAAGCAGAAAGGTGTGTCTGCAATTTAAAATTATTGTCCCGGCGTTTTCCTTGACATCAATCAAGAATTTGAGAAGGACGTTTTTTCAAGCTCAAAATTTGTTTTCCTTTGTTATAACTTTGTTTAATCTCCCCTCCGAAAAAAAAGTAAGATCATTAATGAGTCTCCTCACTGACTAAAACCCCGAGGAGATAAAATCAGTGTACTGTTCCATCGATTAGATACTTGAGATCGTATCAAATAACGTTCCTAAGGAAGGTTTCTTAGAAAAGTTCCTTAGGAACACCTTACTGAACGTTACCTTCAGTTGCACACTTTTAGCTTCCTTTAGTTTTTGTTTTATGAAATAACTGATGCTTTTCATTGTTATACCTTAGTTACTAAGGGATTAGCTCCTTAGCGTTAACATAACTTTAAAATGGATAGTTCTAACACTTAAAAGGATTTATTATTAACCATCGCTGCCTTAACAATGAAAAAAATCGCTTAATTTACTTGAAAATTTTGATAGAAGAAGCTATTATTTTACATTTTCTCCCTGCCTCCCTTTGGGGCTATACGGAGTTTTGCCAGGCTAGGGAAAAGGCTTGGGGATTAATTTCAGAGTTAAGTAACCCCGGCACTGAGGTTCGAACTCGTAATTATTAGGTTAATCAGGTTGTCGGGCAGATCTGCTGATTGTGTTAAAAGTAACGTTCAGTAAAGTGTTCCTTAGAAACCTTCCTAAGAAGCATTTCTTAGAATCAGGGGTGCCCATCTTCTACAAGAGAGATGCCGTATAACCACTTCCCTCTTCCAAGAAATTGATTGCTTTCTTCTTAAAAACGGTGGTCGCAAATACAAATAAAATTATAAGAATTTCGTTTATATTTTCCCTTGTTCTTTGGTTTAATTTTTCTCCGCAATTGAAATTCAAAAATGTATGGCTCCTCCCAAAATTCCTAACACCATAAATAGGATTCCTAACACCTTTGATCAAAACCTTTGATGGCGCAACTTACACCATTCAATTATCTTTTAGGCATTTCTGTTCAGAATTGTGCATAATCAACACTCTAAAAGTATGCTATTTAAGGTAACGTTTAGTAAGGTGTTATTAAGGAACCATCCATAGTAACGTTCATAAATACTAGATGAACATTAATTTTCTCAGAAAAGATTCACAAAAGTGTGGAAGGATCTACATATCTATATTTTATATTTTTATCTCTTATGAACTAAGAGTTGTAATTTCTGAACTGGTTGGTTAAAGTTATAATGCTTTAGAGAAGGTTGAACGTGATTATAATTTGGGAAGGAGTTGGTGGAAGTGCGGTAAATATATATATATAATATATATATATATATATATATATATATATATATATATATATATACATATACATACAACTTGAAATAGTAATTATAGTCGGATAATAGGTCACTTTAATGACTGATTCAGGGACCTATTATCCGACTATAATTACCATCTTAAGTTATGATATATAAAGGTCGATTTATATTGTAATATTGTATATTGCAATATTATATATACATATATATATATATATATATATATATATATATATATATATATATATATATATATATGTATATATATAGACCAAAAAAAGGATAAATAAAAAGATAATAAAATAGTTTTTAGTAAATATTTTCTATCGGAATTTTTACTTGTTGGGCGCCTGGCTTTACCAGCCTTTCATCAATAAAAAGATAAATATAGAAAATATAAGGTACTTACCCATTATTTGGCCATCATTAAATATTTATTCTACCATGCTAGCTCAGGTGAGAAGGGGTTAGGTTGGCTATTTTTATAAAGCAGCAAAAAAGGTCAAGGGATCTCTTTACAGAATTAATACAATTTACAAGCAAAATGAATAAAATGAAAGGAAAAAGAGAGAATTTATACATAATTACTATATACAATTTGAGATAAATAGGAAGATAATAAAAATAAAAAAAAGATATTATTCTATATAAAATAATATGGCAAGTCACATATAAACATCAAGTAGTGAAAGTCAAGATATAAGGAATATAAGATGTAAGAGCACATGCACATGCTAAAACATGAATTAATAATTATTCACAGGAAACAAAAGAGAGAAGAGTTTTTTTTTTCCAATGCTTCCTTAATCTTGGTAACAATATATATTGACTGCACATAGTATTGTAACGTACAGTATTATATTTGACCCGACCAACTTCTTCTCAGGTTAAAGTTATAGAATGAGTTTTCAATAAACGGCGACGAGTTATGCATGTCTACAGAAAAAGGGAGGGTATAAATTTAATGGAATTCTCGGGTAAGAGTGTAGCCAGTTTTGTCGAAATGATTCTTTTAAAAGAGTTTCTTTCTCAGAGCTTACTATGAAGGGATCTTAGAGTATACAATTGACATTTGACATTCTACGTCAAAAATAAACTGTACTTATATAAATGGAAACTTGACATGAGAATAGAAAATGGAGTCCTAGGCAGTATTAAAAAGACAATAGGCATGACCTTTGGCTGTTGAGGAGCCCTTGAAGAAAGGGCAGTTGAGGCGTTATACCTCGGGCCTCATAGTTAGCGCGTCATACTAATGGAGTCACAGTTATTTAAATAATATCTTTGTAAAACTTATTAATAATCATCAATTCTTTTTATATATCGCATTATCTCATGAAACTATAAAAATTGACTATTATTTATTTATTTCTTAATGATGGACTTTTTAACTTTCATTAAGGTTTGGGGAAGCTCTACAATTACTACCAACTAGTTCCTTGAGACTGTTGCATTTTAAATAAAAGAAAAGGAATTTTTCAAGTTAATAAAATAATTGAAAAATAATTATAAAGAGATAATTAAATAACTAAATAGGCTATACAAATATACTAAATTGATATATTTAATTCAATATTTTTAAATAATAATTCAGCATTATTTTAAATATTTATTTATTGCTTACCCATGGAGATTTAACCATTCGAGTCCTCGAATATGCCTCAGCGCTTCTACCGGAATATCTTCCAGTTTGTTGTAACTAAGGTCCAATGACCTGAGAGCTTTGGTCGACCTTAAAAAAAATATATATTGTATTAGTCCTTGGAGAATGAGAAGTGTCATATTTTAATAACGTTGATTCCTAATAGTCTTTAATTGTTACCTTGTAGTTTTTAAAAATTATTTCCAATAATTAATAATTATGACAATAGTAATTTGTTTTCTTGCTTTAAATTTAGATTATGATTTTTATACGATATAGAAAAACCTAAAAACCTGTACCACTACTACCCATGAAGGGTCTTGGGTTCAGTACTATTTAAGTACAGTACTGTTCCTTAGTCGACGGTTGTGCAAGGAGGTGATTTGACTGAGATTACGCTTAACCGCCAGGTTTCCCTCCTTGGTTAATTATCTAATTAAGGGTACCCCGGAGGGTCTCCTGACTCCAGGGTCACCGATGAAACAGAATAAATAATTGTTCTGTCATGAGTCGGGATTCGAATCTTTGACCTTGAGCATCGGGAGATCAGTGCATATGATATAGAGATAGAGAAAAAAAATGGAATTTAAAGTTTGCTATTTTTTCCGATACATCAATTTAATACCTCGATGTTTTTTAAAAGTATAAATTTAAATAAATATGTCTAGATATTTTTTTTAATGTTTACATTCTCATTTAGTGACCGGTAGGCTGCTCATTGACTTAGATTGTGCTGTACTTTGAAAAAAATATGATAACTTGAACACAAAAACACGCACATATCTATCTACGCTAACCAAAAGCTGTCTCTCGGGAATACTAAGCTTAATCCATGTAACTTGAAATTCAACGATATTGATTGTTGATATGATCTTAATTAATTAAGTAAGCCATAACTACTATTGGTATCTGTATATCTGAGGTTGGCCAAGATTAATTGTGGAACAAATTTTACAGAAGGCAATTTATTACAAACTTATTTCTTGCTGAATCCTTCGTTTGACCAGCCCTGGTGAAGGCCTGAACTTTAGGTCGAAACGTCGGCAAAAATAAAAATAAATATGCTTATTTATTTTTACTATTTTTTCTTTTTTCTTTACTGATCACTCCAACAATTATTCTCTTCAATTATTCACTACAGTCAATCATTAATCCAGAATTATCACAAACTATCATGGTGTACATATTACTTAATTTCATTTTTTAAACAAAAAATGTTGTAGTATTCGTTCTGAATTTTACATATCTTGTTTTAAATTGAGTTGTTACAAGACAAAATCTCACCGCTTCAGATATGTTTACAAGTTTTATAACTTGTTACTTAAGATTTAGACATTCGATATTAGTTTTTTTTTTGTCTGTTATTTCAACATTTATAAATTATTTCAGAACCCATGTAACAAAGCCGGTATCGGTTACCAGTAAAGCATTCAGTGTATCAGTGTTGTATTATACCAGATGGGAGCTAGACACGAAAGACATAATATCAGGTGCCAACATTACGAAGTTAAAATATATCCTTTTCTACCTAAAAGACGTTTGATATTCAATGGGTTTTCGTTTCAATTGAATATTGAGAAAATGTTTAAAATATTTTAAATCTAAATTTTCACTTTCGTAAAAATAGAAATTTAATGCAAACACCAATATTCTTATTTTCTATAGAGACAGAATATGATAATGTATTATTCTTTACAGTTCTGTATGTAACCTAAAACCGTCTTGGTTCAACAACACAGATTTCCTTTGTATTAAATGTAATTTTACGTCGAATTTGAATTTCAGTAATCCAAGTGTTTAAGGGAAGTAGAAAACAACAAGAAAAAAAAAATTAAGTAAGTTATTTTGCAAATCTATCTATAAAATCTAGTTATAAGAGAGATGGATTTTTATGAGTGAGGTAGCAAACGAAAGGAAATTTCATTGAGAAGCGTGAAGTTAACTTATCTAGGCGGATAATATTGTCTTTTAAATATCCCGACTCAGACATCATGAACCTGTATAGTTCTATAGTTCTATAGCTCTCGGTTTTAAAACGCTAAAATGTAATTTTTGAGACAACGCATGAACCCAATCCTATACTAGCAATATCGATTCTTGATAGCAATGGATTACTAATAATAATAAAGATAAAAGACTTAGCTAACCCGAAGATTCGATGCCTACACACATTTCTCCACCGATTTACCGTCCAAACTCAGTCCCTTAAGGTCGGCCTCAACGCAATCTTTTCACCTTCGCTTCGGTCTATCGCTCGGACGTTTGCCTGTCGGCACATCAAATATAAACCTTTTAGGAATTCTTTCGTTATTAAGCCCAACACTTTTACAAGCCCATTTGATTCGTCGCGATATAAGCACCTGAATTATATTAATTGGATACAGTATTCCTTAATGTAAGCGGCCACGTTTCACACTGTAGGTATAATGATTTTATACATCCAAGTATTTAAGTTCCGGGAAAGAAGGCGCGAACTAAGTAGTTTCTTCATAGAAAAATAGCAAGCATATTTCGCCTTCAGCCTAACGTTTATCTCCTTTCCAATTTTGTTTTTTTCTATTTTAAATCCTAGACCCTAAACTTTTCTCCGTGTTCAAACATATTACCATCTATATCGATATCACCGACAAAAATGTCATTTATGGAGCTAACCATATATTTTGTGGTATCTTATCCGTTTTTAATTCGAAAGCTAGTTCTTTACCGACTTTCATTAACGTTTTCGTATTTAGATTTATAGCTTACTTTTATTTGCTTAACAGGACCAAATCATCCTCAAAGCCAAGCACGGGTGTTCCCCCTCATGGGTGTTGGATTACTAATCACATACATAAATTAAAATATCTACTGTATATTATTTTTATACTATTTATTGTTAAGTTTTGGTTTTTATCGATACAATATATCTTACTAATTTTTCATGAAATGATTGAGCCATGATTTTAAAGATTATCTTCTATCTCAGGTGGGAAAAATAGTCACGATTTCCCCACAATTTCAGAGAATATAGTTAATATGAAAAGAAGATTTACTGAACTCCAAAAATATGCGATTTATGATTAGGAACTTCTGATGTCCTATTTTTTTCTTTATAAATTAACAAAGATGGTTTATGAGAGCAAGAGTTTGATTGTGGATTTATACGATTGTTACTTAAATATTCTATTTTGTTATACAATGTTTTTTTTCTCTCTTCCTTTTGTATTTTATTTATTTTTTTCTATCGTAAATAAGGTATGAATGCAAATTAATTATATAAAAAAATCAAAAAAATATATAAATAAAATTTATTTAGTTATTTATTTGGTATTTTGTTGCCTCTACTCTGTAGGGTCATTGGCAAATAAAATTAAATGTTATATATCAAGTTAAATATTACTTGAATAGCTATACGACTTTCCTGTATTCCGAGAAAATCCAGAGTAGGGGAGGACAGGCAGGTAATAGTGGTCGAATGGTTCAATATAATTAATGTCCAAAGCAACCTCTCAATATGTCCGTAGGGATATTTATACTAGACCTATGTAAAATATCGTTTCAAATTATCAGTCAGCCATAACTCAATTTGATTTGTAACTTTCAATTCCCTTCCTGGCGATGATGGAGCTGAAAACATATTTATTTAGGTCTCTCGCGGAACTGGTTTCCGAAGGGAGTTTAGGTAACGTTTTAATTTTGACCCAATATTATTTCCCTTCATCTCCATTACTCTTAAACATTTAACATAGTTCTGATTTGTGTTTTACTTGTGTAGATCTTTCTGTAATCTTCATTGGTGATTGAATTTTTTTAGGATTTTAACAAAACGGTGTAGTTCTTCTTTTTTTCTCTTTTTAGACGACTTCAGATCCTCTTCTCAGACTTTGAAAGAGGACTTTCTCATACTTTAAATCCAAGATCCAGCATAGCTAATAGTTCACAAAAGAGCAGCATTGTAAATAAATGATCCTTTTTACAAGAAGATAGGACGAACCCACAAGGATTCTAAAGTAGGAACGCCAAAAATACATTCGTATATACAGTGAGAGATTCGATATACTATTCCAGGTACACATGACACTATCTATCATTTCAAAGTTGTTAATTGAACGAGTAACAATAAATAATTTTGAAATAAATGCTGTTTTTCGAAAATTGATTCGCTTTTGATAACTCCTGGAAGTGAATGTAAGCTATTTTATTGTCATATGATCTATAACAAAATATTGTATTGTAAAACAGATCTATTGGCGTCCCTATTTTTTTCTTCTTCTTTGGCGACGTGAAACCCACGCGTGGGGCCAAGGCCTCCTGTAGCAGCAGCTGCCACTCATTTTTATTCAAAGCAGCTGATTTTCAATCTCGTATATTAAGGATGGATCTCGCGTCAGCCGCTACATCATCAGCCCAACACAATTTGGGTCTTACAATTGGTATTCTTCAGAATAGATGTTCAGTAAGACGCTTCTTTGGAATTTGGCTATCCGACATTCTAGCAACATGGCCTGCCCATCGAAGTCGATCAATCTAAATGAACCTCTTTACTTTCCTGAGAAAAGTTCTGCAGTTCTGCATTGGTTCTCTGGCTCCACTCTTGATTCGCACAAACTGGGCTAAATAAGGATCCGGCGTTCATATTGAAGTAAGACTTGCTCGATGGTTTTCGATATAGTCCAGCATTCTGATCCGTAGGTTAGTACAGGTCTTATACAAGGCTAGTTTTGTTCGGGAAAGGGATTTGCTTTTTATGTGTGTCTGAAGACCGACCTATCTGACATAGCACCTATTGAAAGCCATTATTCTTCTGTCAATTTCAGGTCTCATGCTGTTGTTGGGATTTACCCGAGTTGACAGATAAACTAATTCCTCAACCCATTAGAAGGTAAACTCTCCTATCCGGATGTTTGCATCTATCATTGTTTCACCACACACACCCGCCTTCATATACTTGGCCTTGGTTTGGTTTATATTGAGACCAAGCCTTGCTGCAGCTTTCCAAGGTATTTTCTTGGTTCAATCAAATTTACATTTCTTTACTACCCATGTGATCATGCAAAGACTGTTGGTTTTCAGGGGCCAATTCAAAACCAACAATCCATGAAGGGTCTCGTGTTTAGTAATTGTATTTTAGTAGTAGTAGAAAGTACTGTTGCAAGGCCAACGGTTGTGCAGGACGATGACGGGCCACTATCATGCTCAACCGCCAGGTTTTTCCCTTAATTAATTATTTAATTAAGAGTAGCCACTTTATAGAGGCTGGGTTTGCCCCAGGAGGATCTCCGGTCACAGGGTCGACCCACGGCTGATGAAAAATTACTACACATCAGCCGGATTCGAATCTGGGACCTTGAGCTCTGGAAGTCAGTCCTCACCCACTAAGCTACCCCGCTCTCAACAGATTAATAAATAACACTCCAAGAAAATGGCTATAATCCAACAATTAGTTGAGGAGTTTCCTTACTTGCCTTAACAATATCCGCAGTAAATTTCTTGAAAATATTTTATTTATGGTAGTATTATTTTCTTCACTTCCGATTAAAATTGTTTTCTTATAGAAACTTAATGCATAGTTTCAATTAACTAATTAAGAGCTACGGTTTCCCAGAAACATTTTCAGTAATTATAAGTTACACCATCCTTTTGCTATCCTTTATTTTTCTCTCCCATAAATCAAGATCCCATAAATTGTCTGTTTATTCATCTAAAAATAATCTCAAGATGAGCTTTCAATTTATGTGATAAAGTATAGTATTTACTTTAACTTAAAGAAATTGTCTATTTAAATATTATATGGTACGATTGTACATGTTCTATAACAAAACTAATATAAACAAAACTTCATGTTACATTGAGATTAGTAACAAAAAAAAGTCAATGACTTTTAAAATTGAGTTCTCAAACTATGGGTTTTCTTAAACTGATCTGATATCATCAGAAAACAAGAAAAAATACAAATAATATTAATATTGTCAAAAATTTCTGTTTAATATATATATTTTTTTGTTAAATTATGATATTTTAAAAATTATAGAATAATTTGCTTATCCTAAAGCGACTTTGGAACGAAAATGACTCCTCTATCGTAAATAGAAAGAGCAGGTCACAATTTTGTCACGGAGAAATTAGTTTGAAGCGACTACGCAACGGGACAAGTGCGTTATAACAGAAATCAACATTAGGAGAATAGAAGGCTATCTTTTTTCCAGACCCTCGGAGGGTTAAAAGAGGAAGAAGATCGAAGAGGAAGAAAGGCTAGAAACAAGTTCTTAAGTTTATTGTGGAGGTGTAAGTATCTGGATTGGACCAAATCGGACACATAAGGAACATTAAGGTCGTTAGGGAATTTAAAGATTGTAATGTAGTTGCAATGTAAATTGTAGAGCAGTTTCGGATACCAGACCAGATCAAAGGTCTATTCTACATCGACTAGACACCCGTGTATTGCATTCCGCGCTCCAATGCAAAGGAAACAACATCCAGCACACGATGACATTGCTGGATAGTGGAATGTGACAAATCCAAATTGGTTATCTGGGATTATGTGATTAGAATCTAGAATGGGATACATGCGTTTTAAGATGAGTTTTTCATGATAATGTCCACGAGGGGTAAACGAGAATTTGGGCAGTGGAAGGTTTGGAATCGGTTGCTTTTTAGGTTTATGTATCGTAGTTTTCAATGGTCAGGAAAATATGTGGATCAGAGTACATCATTATATATATACATATATAAGTAAGGAATAGTTTTTTAAAAGCAGTTCTATGATCTGGAATGAAATTACGTCGTTTCCGGGAACTTTATATCGAATATTTCTGAAGGGTGTAATACTTTAAGTGGAAGTGTCATTTGAAGTGGAATATACAGTTATGTTTCAATACATTCAAGGTGATTTGGGAGGCGGGGTGTCCGAGCGTACCAACGCGTGTGCACAGCACCATGCGTAGCCCGACAACCTGACAACCGAAGTGTGATATAGAGAAATAATTACGAGGTCGAGTCACAGTGGCCGGGTGGACTTTTAACTCGCCATAATTCCTCACCCTCTCCCCCAGTCCGAAAAAACAAAAAAAACCATTAAAGGTGATTAGGAATAAAGATGTGGATTAAAAGTTTTAGCGATCAAATTTTTGGAATTCTTTTTTCCATTTGGACCAGGTTTGGGCAGTATATTACAATCTTTAAAATTTAGGAGCTTTTCCATAGTTTTCAATTTTCTAATTTTCTGATTTTAGTTTGTTAGTCTGTTGAGCCAGGTGTTACTATTAATACTGGTTGTTATTGATCCTGTAAGTTTTTCTAACATGTTAGTTCAAACATGAATAAAGTTTTAAAATAATTTTATTTTCCTTGGTTGATTAAAATTACCGAGAAAATAAGAATTGATTCTGCCATCGTATTATACGTTGCATCATTTAATTTCTTGCTTATTTTGTCATTTGTTTACCAACCAATATTCTTTGAAAATAATTTGCACGGGCCAAATAGTTCAAATAAATAGGTTTAGTCTCAAAGAAACGCCAAGGGCGGTGGACTGTTGTCGATTTTTCGAAACTAAATATCTTGAAGCTTGCCGACCTCAAGTAATATTATACAATTAAATAAATAAAAAATATTTATTTTAAATCTAGAAATGAGCTCATTGCACGGTTACAAGGGAGATGATTCATAGCGGCGTA